TAATTACTTTAGACTGATGAAGCTTGTGTATTAATTTTCCTTTGGTGCACTTTTCTTGCCATTTGTATCTGCCTTTAGTCATTGATCTTGACTGTATAAACATCTTAGAAATCAATCCCAGCCCGATTTGACGCTTACCCCACACAATCAGCGTTATACACACGTTTGGGTCTGAGGAGAAAAGAATTTTTAACCCTCAAGTGATTTCTGGTCTTGATTCATATTTGTGATACCCCTTTCTTCACACCCAGAGGTCGCCATTCGAAAACATCCGGTGGATTATTTCATAAAATAACCTCGCGGTTCCCATCCCAAAGGATCGTGGGCTTAGTAGCTCCAGCTGTCGCATTTTGCACTCTATTTACAGTGATCGCTTGTTCCCTCTATCGCACATTTTATTCTCCAGGATCAAGCTCAAATACAAAAACAGCTTCAGAAGCTCAGTCGATATCGAAAGTTCATGAGCCAGTTCTTGGACCCGGATGTGGCCGCTTCCGTGGCTGCTAATGTGGCCGCTCACTATAACAACCAGAGCAAGGGCTCACATGTCGACGAGGCGTTTGAGTCCAACGCATCTACAGCCGGCGATCGGAGTATGCCTGTCTCGACGTCTTTCAGTGTTGAACGTAAGTGTACCATGCCTTCCATCAGTTTAGTGCTCACTGAACCTTTTGATTTCTTAGACGCTTATGATAATGTGTGATGATTACGAACTTTGATGCAAGTACGCACGGTTTCTTTCACTTCCGTCAACGACCTTGCGCGTGAAAGTCCGGCACCTGCGAAACAGACGGAAATTTGTCTCTTCTTGAGTTTATTTCACTTTTTGTGTCTGAAATCCATCAGACGTTGCATCGCATGATCTTTCTTACGACTCTTCCCACCTTCTCTTCATCCGCTTAGATTTAACGGAAGCTTGACGAAGTGCGGTATACTGCATACCTCAGTGGTTTTTCGAAGCACGCTCGTTGGCACTTTCTTTATGCCAATTGGTAGACCCATCGCCGACGTACTAAATATTCGTAGTTCCCACTTTTTACGTATGGGGAGTTGGGATGAGATCCATGACCAAGTTCTTCTAAAGCAGCCATGAAAAAACATTTTTGTGGGTTAAATGTCGGATACGTTTAATACGGAGCACAAGCATCCTTACTTGTCCACTGATGAATTAACACAACCCTCACTCCCTACTATGACTACTACCGTTAGCCTCAAGCCGAACACCCCCAGCGGTCTGAGTGCTGACTAGCGAAAATCTTTCATGGTTAGATGTTTTAACGATTGTATCACCAACTACGATAGGATCATATGTTAATTACCCCAACTGTGTATCTGAGATCGACCAACTCTAAACAGGTCCTCGTGAAACCCTGCATTCCTTGGGTCTACTGCCCACTGCAATGTGGATCACCCATTGAATTAACGTCTAAAGATGGAAAATCTCGAGCACTTCCTTCAAAACGTCAATAACCGACATCATATCTCCTCGGATGGCCGCTGATTTCCATTTCTCTATTTTCACACTTCATTTTGTTGACCTCCCGTGACCCGTCTGGCGTCTGGTGCTCCTATAATCCGTTTTAATTGCGTATCTGAATAGCTTCCCAGACCAAAGACATCAAAACACGTCGAGTCTGAACGATCTCAATCTGTGTAAACTAGACCAACATTTTCCACTCTGTTGGAACTGACACGGACTAAATATCCAAACACACCAGCAAACCAATAGCATGTTATATTTGTCCCCCTTACTCATCTTTCAATGAGTAGGGCCCCATTGCGTCTCCACCGATGCAAAGTCAATGTTTTTCGAGGCGTTGCCGGTATTGTTATCACCCTCAGTGGCAGTTTGAAGGCACGATACTAAATTGCGTCCAATTGAATACCCGTATGTACGCGGTTTCCTGTTAGTAGACAGTTAGTAGAAGACGTAATACTCTAATACTGTTTCAACATAATTTCCCACTGAGTGAAGTCAAGCAAGCATCTTAGATACACAGGACGGGTGCATATTTTGCTGTAGCACACACGCTTTCAGCCATGTGGTATAATATAAATGCAACTCAAAAAGTGGATTAGTAACCGGAAAGTATAATATCATCATACCTCGGACGACTTTGTTGGGGTCTAGCAAAAGTCGCACTTGATAAGTGGTAACTAAAGAACGGTAGGCGATTATTTGGATATATGTGGGCTTTTAAATCTGTCTGGTTGACGAGATCGACACGCATGTCGATGTTGGTAAGTGCTGTTGACTCTAGTCTCTTGCAAGCACCAAGATAGGTGGACACAAGTATATCCTCAAAAGTCAGCTTTGACACACCGCTACATCGGGACAAGTATTTTCACATCTTGGCAATTAATCTGTTGTGGTTACTCGGTACATCCAGTGTGGAAGAACATGAGCAGTGACAAAAAGACGTATCAGATCGTTCGGGACAGATAGCTCGTAGAGCCATGGTTTGAGTTTTGTGAATGTTTTACTCATATGATGTGACCAACACTAATGTAGTGAATCTTGGCACCTACCTACTTCACTGGTACGGAGCAATGCAGCTCCTGGCTATCGATGAGCTGCTGATACGTATCACGTAAGTGCAGTGAAAAAGCGACATTATTACATTTTTAACATCTTAAACAACAGCTCGGGGACTCTCAGCTAAACCGTCAGATCGTTCAGAATATATAGTAGTCTGACTGAAGATGCAATCGTCGATTGATTGACTCCCGGGACGATGTCCTCTGCCTACTTCAGTAGGGTGACCTCCTCAGAAATTGCTATCGAGCTGACAAGTGGAAAATAGAAATGGTAACATAGCAGCTCTATGGTGAACCACGGTGTGTTTGATTAGGGGCGAAAAGCTACCTCCAAGTTGGATAACCTGAGTACGGGTGGCAAAATACTCCTTCAACCATGGGTGGATGTATTCCACCACCGGGTAGATCTTTCCACAACTCACGGTTTACGCATCCAAATACATTAATGTGGTCCAGAAAACAGGTTTGGTAGATGAAATTGATTCTGTTATCCAACGATGACAGAACCGAATGCACAAGGTAGGCTAGTGCGTCTTGCAATAACTTCGAATCGCGGTAGATAAATTGAAAGAGATCATTGTCTTTTTTGTCAGCATCTTCTCAAGATGATCTTTTCAAATGCCTTGGTTTTTTTTCCGTACTGTGTAATAATGACACTTCCCCGGTAGTTAACAACTTATGCTGTTCTGTGCACAGAGTGTACGTAAAGTAGCTAGAAGTCAACATACTCCTTTAGAACAACAGGAGGTACTTTGTCTGCACCGCTCGCCTTATCTGAGTGTAGCTGCTTCACATGAACGGCAGTCGCTCGGATAGTTTGTCATCTGAAAGCAATACCTGGCCACATCGGCGTTATCAGTAAACTGAAGTCGGTGGATAACACCATGACTCTTACTCGTTCAGTATTCTGTACGGAACATTTCCTCCACTTAAACTTGCGGTCTTTGCAACGAGTAGATTCTTTATGGTTTGTCTTAGAGTAGGAAACAGAACACAGCCTAACTTTCGTCTGATCAGAACTGCCAAGCGGCTCCCTGTTATACATCGCGAACAGATTTACATTGTTAAGTAACACCATATCCAGGCTCGCATTGGATCAGGTGAGGCATCTTATGACGTTCTGTAATCCATGACTGGTGATTTATGTAGTGTTGTAAGTCTGCCATGTGCATGTCTGCAGGGCGCTCTGTCTCGACTGTGTGAAGCGAGAACTATTTCTTAGCTGACGAATGTTTTGGGGAGTATATAACAGTACTAATATCATTAATTTTTCACATCGAAATTCACTATCTTACGAGCTTGTGACAATTATAGCTTACGGGATTCAAATTGGCCAATTCCTTACTTATTGAAATGTATCAGTATCGAAAGTGAGAATTTGCTTAAAGCACTCGTAACTGGTTTGCTACTGCATGTCGTTGGGGCTAAGATAATCGCTAACCACCGAAATCCAAAGGTGATGTGGTTCCTTGCTATAGGCATCGTCCGAGTCATATGCGGTTCCGAGGTTCTGATCACGAAGCGTAGATGGGTTTCTTATCAACTGACACTTGCTGTACATGGGGCCTTAGTTCGAACCCCATCCACTCCAGTGAACTAGCAACATTTGGTGATTCAACGTTTGTTGTCGTCGCCGCTGTTGCTCATATGGTCTTACTACGTGGCCACAGTCAGGTTATGGCAACACAGGTGACCCATTCATTTGGTCTATTGTTGCTCCTTTTATCGAATATACATGCTCCATTGGTCATAAAATTTGGTAACACATCGATTGTTTTCTGCCCGTCTCTTCCTGCAGGTCCCTCGCTCCTCTTGCACCTTGTGTTTTTTATCTATCTTAATTGGATTGTACGAATAAAAACTACATCGGTCCTTTCACCGCATTCATCTTTGCGCAAAATTTATCGTTATCTCGAAGATTTTGTCCTTGTCACAATCATCCTAGTTTACTGTGCACGCAACAGATATAGTACTCCTTGCTTGGTCACTGTATACTCCATCTTTTTCCATACATTGTTTGGAAACTCCTGCCACGTTCGGAAAACAATTCAAAGCCGATCTACATGATCTCGTAACCACTGTTCCTCCTTTTAGTCGCATCACTTTGCCCACTCAGTTCACAACAGGTAACAGGCCATCTGGGCTGGATCTTATACTTACCACCAAGGATCATGTGATTGATGTGTTAGTTGTATACCATCCGTTTGGTCGCGGTGATCACTCAGTCATCAATTTCAACTTCGTCTGGTATGTGGAATATCGCGATGATAACGGTGAGACTGTGCGAACCATCACAAGCTACGATCGACTAGCCCAGCTCGTCAGTGCTACAACTTGGTCGTTACTTGCCGAAGAACTCCCAGAGGTCGCCTGGCTCCAATTCGTCAACTAATTCTGTCAGCTGATGACAGGGGCTTCAGAGATAAGAGTTGGCGATATGTGTAAATCAGGTTTTTTCGTTAGGAGCAGAACTCGAAAATGGATGAACGTACGCAACGCAGCATGACGAGTGTACAGAGAAGGTCCAGCACAAGAAACTTGGGACAACTACGTAGCCCAACGTAACCACTGCACTCAACCGCTAAGAGAAGACAAAGCCGCAAAGCAGCAGAGCATCGCTAACCACGGACTGCTGCACAAGCACGTCAATAGCCTACGAAAGGTGGGATAAGGATTTGCTCCACTCAGGATGGTCGATGGCCTAACAAGAACGGCTATGGAAGCAGCAAACATGCCGCGGATGTAATATGCCCCCACGTTTCAGAGACTTCCCACCAAGCGATCTTCCAGCCTTTGTCGTCTCTCCCCCCGAACTGACCCACATCACTTTTACCGCGGAGGCTGTATTGCAAAAGCTGATGTCTCTATGCAAACAGCTCGCCGGGTGTCGATACCCTTCGTCCAGATGCACTGGAAACAGCAGCAAGCCAGCTGGCAAGACCTTTACCTGTTTTTCCAGCTCTGCTTAGACCAGAACCAGGTTCCCGCTATGTAAAAGCCTGGAATAATGACCCCGATTCACAAATGTGGAAGCAGAACTGAGCCCTTCAACTACCGCCTAATATCCCTTCTTCCTATACTTTCCAAAGTCATGGAATTGTTGCCGATGCACTGGTGTGTTATCTGAAAAAAGGCAATATAATCACGCCTGAGCAGCACGGCTTCCGTCGACAGCGGTCATGCACAGCGACTTTACTAATCGCACGCAGTAGTTAGACTGAGGCAGCTGACGCTGGAGAAGGCACTGACGTGATCTACCGAGATTTTACGAAGGTTTTCGATCGTCTAGACCATCGGATACTACTCTCCAAGCTACAACATCACTGGGTCGGAGACCCTCTTATATGCTGGCTTGTCATTTTTCTACTTCAACGGTAAATAGTGGTCAAAGCTCTGAGCTCTTTATCGAGTTTGGTGTACCACAGGGCTCAGTACTAGATCCACGTTTGTTTTTGATGTTTATTAATGACCTTGAACAGAGATTCGCTTCAAACTTCCTAATGTTTGTCGATGATATCAAGATTTGGCTCAGGATCCAAGTGAACGCAGACCAGCGTCTGCTTTAGAGTGACCTACATAAGGTATATCAATGGTCAATCCAAAAATTTACTGTATTTCAACGTGAGTCAACGCAAAGTACTTTCCATCCGACATCAGAGCAGCTACTCATACCGGCTCGGAACGAATGTACTGCAACACTCAACTATCGAACCTGACTTGGGTGTCCTGGTTCAAGATGGCCTGGCTTGCTCCAGGCAATCCGAAAAGGCCTCAAAAGCTGGAAAGCAACACGTCGAACTGTTGCGCCGAGCGTTTGGACAAATAAACAGCTCCATATTTCGACAAATGCTCAGTTTGCCCCCAAGTCGAATACGCAATTTACGCCTGACATCCATGACTGAAACACGACCTTAATGCACTGGAACAGTCACAAGGTCGGGCACTTAGGAATGTAATTGGAATTCGTAAGCTTTCATACCAGGAGAGGCTGCTACGATTGGGGGTATTCAGTGGAAGCAGACTACGAGGCGACCTGATTATGACATACTTGATTCTACATGATCTGCATCATGTGTGCCGCTTTTTACTGCGACTCAGCATCAATACAACCCTAAGGAGCCACTCATTGCAACTCGCTGTACAGTATAGTCGTCTGGAGTGCTGCAGAAATTTATTCTGAATTCGTATCTGTCATTCGTGAAATGCTCTACCAGAATCGCTCGTCTCTGTACCGACATTAACAGTATTTAAAAGATGGTTGGATGATGCACTCATCCACTTACGTTTTGTCACTTAGCGCTGCGTCTCCATCCTACACCTGGAGTTTGCCATGGAATTATGTGCTGTTAATTGTAGGTACTGTGAATCTAAGCGGATTGCCTTACTACGGCCGAGCAAACGATAAGTCCTTATTTTCATATCTAAAATGCTAACTGTTTTATTATTCTTATTTCGATATCCCCACCAACTATCCGACGAGACTTTTAAGGCAACGCTCCTTAACCCGTATACATTCATTGTTCATTAAACACATTTTCATTATTTTACACCTTAAGGCATTCTTACTGGAAGTTGCTTTCTATCCCCCATTGTTCCAGATAACCAACCGTCTCAGACTATGGCTATAACTCCGGAACCTGTGCGTCAAGTTGCCGTAAATTCCGCCTCTTCCGATACGCGGGCATTGATATCGCCTGGCGCAGTCCTCTCTCGTGTTGGATCCGCCGTCACAGCAATCGCAGCAGCGATCACTTCCCCCCGCAGATTATCAGCCGCTTCATATGTGTCGGCGACCACTTCATCTTCTGCAAATGACGCAAAGGCACCTCTTCTTCCAACTGCTTCTGACAGTTTGACCAAAAAGGGCACAAGGAATATCAGCCACGTCGGTGATAATTTGATGGACGTTCCGGTGCGTCCTATCTTATTGTCATCGTGTTTCACATTACATCCACCGGAACATTAGTCAGCCTTCCGCTGTCTCTCCCGGTTCCATGAGATGTTTAACTTAGTTACCGTTGGCAACCCTCATTCACTACCTTCCATTAGCCAGCGGCCGCAGGTCTTTTAGTCTTTAGCGGTTCCATGGGTTTAGCAAGACCGCCCATGTATTGGGGACGATATGGTACTTCACAGTCGAAATAACTTGGGAAGCGTTCTATTGCAGACACAACCAACCAACCGCCTTGACCAATTTGTGCTTGCGTACTCATACTCGTTCTGTTTCAACCCGAATCGGCGTATTCCATGAGTCTGGGTAATATTTGCTACCTCCACCTATTATACTCAGTATAACCAGGAGGAAAATGTTTGTTTACATGCACTTGAGAGTTACGGTCGCTTCTTGGCCTACTCGACCTATCAACATGCACGATCCGCTTAACAATGCTACATAACCGCAACAACCCTCAAGACTTACGCGGATTTTGGGGACATAAGGTCCCAGTCAGTCGCCCAATTCATACATGGTTGGCGATATCCCAATCGGGATTTTCTTATCACTGCGGTCTCCATAGTACAGCCACAGGACGCCTCAACTTCAAAGGGACCATGGGTGGCTTGAGCTGCACCACCCACACACTCGATATCCAGTGCAAACCCGAAGGAATAAGACCAGGACGCATGTGGATTGGAGCCACGTTTCAACAACCAAGCCGGCATGCACAACAGCAACGTGGCTGTCTCTCTATTTAGGGAATCGCGCGTACCAGATGTACACAAGGCAGTGACTGGCTATAGACCTTTCCACACTGGCTGAAACCACATTTTAAGCCTAGCACGGTTACGTGCTATCCTGGATCGAGTATAATCGAGGTGGCAATTTTCTGACAGGTGGGCGCCTTATCAACATTCACGTCAAGTGCAACCACACTGGGAATATGACGCAACGGCCAACAACTGCAATGCAAGAAACCCAACACACGTGCACATGTACAGACCGACTGCAACGGTGATATAGCACTCGTACCTCATTGGCCGTGTGTAGTAGCATTAGAAAGTATCGCCTTCTCTACTGCATACGGCAGGGTGGTTAAGTGAAAACACTGCTGATACCTCCTCTCTTTCTTCTTCACCCGCACATACTCTCCCCTTCCCCGTTTCACCTAACCCACTAATTCCTCCAATCCAGGGTACCACCACAGTCGGATTCCTTTGTTCAAAGCACATCCGGTGCTGCAACGTGCGCACAATGCTCGATCGGCACACGAATGAGCGATCGGAGTGACATTGCACTGGTCGCGATGGGACTCCTTTGCTACTGCATTGATGTTGCCTCACTGCTCGAGCCTCAGCTCGCTGAGCCAGGGAATTTCTGAGGCTGGTGCTGGGCACACGCCCTACTGGGTGGACAACGCCAGCACAGCACCACGTGAACACTAGGTCGGATTTGCAATATACGACCGCCTTATGGCCACCTGGTGGGAGAGCCAACTGGCATCAGTCCAGTATTGATGAAAATTCTCCCACACCTCGGACGGGGTAAATTTGCAATTTATTGGCACGTCTGGTCCCACCTTTTGTTATCTTGATGACACGGGGGATCATGTTATGCTCGGTTGTCCGCCGCGATACGGTCTGTGTCAAGGAGCGACCAGCCATTCCTCCTAGGTGATTTCAACGCGCGCGTTGTCCGCGGTGTGGACAGGCTTAATCGGTCCGTATGGTATTGGCACATCCAATGGGAACGGTGACCGGCTGCTCCCACTGTGCGCCAATCACTGGCTCACGAGCACCCAGTTTGCACTGGGTGCAAGTGATATAGCTACTTGAACACACCCACATAGTGGTCAAGCTCACTTGTACGCCACCGTGACATGCGTTAAATGCACATAGCACGTGTACTGGCTAGAGCTGAATGTGACACTGATCTAAAGTTGGTTCGGACCAAATTGTACACATATTTTCTTAAATCTTTGTATTGCTCACCTGTTGTTAACCGGAAAAAATTTAATGTTCGTTCCCTATCTACTATAGAGACGAGGGTTGAGTTGGAGAAGGCGACGGCTACCCGCCTTGGTAATGTCGAACCCATAGCCTCAGTGAGCTACCTGTATCACCACGTTCGTGAGCAGATGACGACTGCTGCCCAGGAAACCGTCGGGCACACAAACTGTAAGCGGCCCGATTGGTTTGATGGCAACAATGCGACCATTGGTACATTAATGTTGGAGAGGAATGCAATCTTCGCTACACATGTGGATGACCATGCTGACTGCGAGAGGAGTCATTTTCGCGATTGACTCGAGAGCTTCGTCGCATTACAAATGCATGGTGGGAGAAGCAGATGGGATGCTAAGCCGAATGCCGCCAGCATAAATAATTCTTTGACTCCTTGAAGACGGTGTATGGACCGAGGTTGCAGGCACTGAGGACGCTAATCGACGGTAGTTCAGGCGCTACCTGCACTCAGACTACAGACATAATGCAGATCTGCTGAAATCACTTTAAATGTCCCTTGAACAACCGTTCAGAGATTGACTGGCCTACATTGAACTGCCTGAAGCAGCACGATATGAAGGTGAGTTTGGCGGACACGCCGACACTGGATGAGAAGCAGAGAGCACTTGCTCAGCTGCTAAATGGCAAGTGTACGGGTGCCGACCGGATCCCGCCTGAAGTGTTGAAACGCTTCGGACCCACGTTGGTATGTGCGCTGCACTACTTGATACAACCCGTGTGGATGGAAGAGGAAGTGCCGGTCGAGTTGAAGGATGCCCTTGTGCTACTATTGTACAGGGGCAAGGGAATTAAAGGATGTTGCACGAATTATCGTGGCATCAACTTGCTGAGTATTGTAGCGAAGTCGATCGCTCCTATCCTGCTCAACGGCCTCGTCACTCATGTCATTGAACCCCACATGGCCGATGAGCAATGTGAATTCCGGTTTGACCGCATCACCATATATTTGATGTTCGCGGCTCGTCAACTGCAGGAGAAATGCAGAGTACCACCAGCCATTTTACTCGCTGTTTGTTGACTTCACCGAGGCATTTGAAGCGATAAGCCGCAAGGAACTGTGACTGGTCTTGGGTAAGTTTGGTTGCCTGCGTAAGTTTGTAAGTTAAATTGTATGTTTGCACAGTGATATGTGGGCGAGGCTGCAGCTGAGTGGACGAACCTCGGATGAATCTGCTGTTGTCTCTCATGTGAAACAGGGCTGTGCATTAGCTCCCGCCCCGTCTAATGTTTACCTTCATGCAGTGATATCTTGTACTTTTGACGTTGCTTGTGCTTACGGTGTTCGTGTGGAGCACCATGTTAATGGTGGGTTGCTGAACATACGTCGTTTCGGTGCGAGAACCCTAGTCTGTGAGACAGTTATCTGTACGTTGCTGTTGGTTGACGACTGCGCATTGTTTGCATATAGCGCGTATGAGTTACGGTGCATGACTAATGCTCTGACTTCGACGGCGGCGGCCAAATTCGGGCTGACCATCATTACAACCAAGACTGTTTTTCTCAGCCTACACCAGAAATGTGATCCCTGGGCCTGCAGCACATCCACATTGACAACGACATTTTGGAAACCACTTCCAGTTCTTTTTAGATAGCGTATTGTCTATTATCCAAAGCGGCTGCCACATTTAGAAAATTGTATCATTGGATGTGAGGGAATCACCAGATGACCATTAAGACGAAGCTGAATGTATAACGGTCGATTATGTCTGTTCTTCTATAAGTCAATGCAACCTGGACTTTATATCGGATGAACATTCATTACTTCGAGCGCTTTCACCAACAGCGTTTTTGTCGTATTCTACGCATCGGTTTGCTTGAACGATTTGCGGACACGGATCTGCTCCGTCGCAGTGGCATGTATGCACTGGACCACATACTTCTGATGCGACGCCTGCGTTGGATCCGGCATATCAACCGCGTGGATTCGACGCGGACACCCAAGCGGCTTATATGGCCAATTGCATGCAAGGAAGCGACACGTGGAAAACCGAAGTTACCTTACCAGGACACGATCAATGTGAGTTTATCACGAACTAATGTTGGTTTCGGGTATGAGGAGGCGATGGTAGTGGATCGGTGCGAATTACGAGAGCATGTCTAGAGAGTGGTTGCCCAGGTGCAGAAGAAGGCATTATTGCACGCGAAGGAGAAACGCAGATTGCGCTAGCTACAGACGTCAATGAAACCTACCCCATCCACGTCAAGCACCTTGTGCATTAGTACATGCGGTCGCGAGTGCCTGAGCCAAGCGGGATTGGCAAGTCGCCAGCATTCCCACGCGAGGCCAGCAACAGAAATACGAGTACTTAGCTGTATGTGTAGACAGCATCAGCATAGTATTCGTAAGCGCGCTGGGTCAATTTTTCATTCGGTGTACTGATCTAGACCAATAAGGCGGTTTATATGATACATGTGCTACATCATTGTTGCAGTTGGTCTGTACGTGTGCCTGTGCGTTTATTTTCTTGCATTTCTGGTGTTGACTGTTGCCTGATATCCCCAATGTGACTGCGCTTGATGTGCAACTTGACAAGCTGCTCCATCATCGCCATCAGTAGCAGTACATCAGCCATTTGAACTGATGCTTTGCTGCCGTACAACCATGGTGACCTACGGAGCGAAGCATACTAAGGGGGTGGGGGAGGAGGGACTTACCGGAAAACCTTAATGCCCTAAGCAAACACTCAAGGTCAGGGCTCCTACACCTTACGTACTACATGCCGTCACAAACAGCTGGCTATCGTGCACAGATAAGGCGGCATCGGTGGGACAGCTTGCTTGCGGCTTTCACTGCCCCGCGTCATAATCAGCCATTACCCCGCAGATAACTCAGCACCAAACACACTTTAAACACACAATCCGATTAGGAGATGCGCTGATGCGATCGGCTTTTGCTTCCTCAGCGCCGGTGCCCGCACAAGAGTTCGAGATCAGCATAGGCGACCACTGTAGAATCCATCACTGCATAAACGGTATGTTGATGCCCTATATAGGGGACTTACACGACACAATGGAAAGAAAATATAAGTGGCAATAGATTTTTAAGGTATCTTAAGCAGATTCGTCGTAAAATGTGGTTGTCAGCTAGCCACGGTACACCATCTAAATGTACCGGATCGTTATTTCGTCTTATTGGGGCTCATCAACGGTGGGTTTCTCCACAAGTCCTTTGAGGTTCATACCTTCCAACCATTTACGGAAAGGTCTGAGGATAATCACGCACTTGTCCAACACGACCAAACATTAAACGATACCAGGTGTACCCAGTCCAAGTCAGATGTGCGTGCAAGTGACATGTCATCAGACACTGGTTTTATCTAACTCGATATGTGCCTGTATACGATTGGATCTCCAAAGCTGGCGATATTCTATTAACTGGGCCGTACGATGTGCGGATGAACATGGGACTGTACTGGAATTGCTAAGTGCTGTCAACTCACATTGTTAGTTTAGTCACCACACCCCGATGATTTGCACTGCCCTCCTCAGACGTTGCATGCATGGTAACTTTATTTTTGCTTATATTGTACTTCTCCATCATATATTCTCGACTTTCCCTATAAGCTTGTCGTTTCTTTCGTTTCTGTTCAGAAGGACATTCCCGCCCACGTTTGTCCCCCGTTCGTGCAACCATCTTTGAAACGAAAGCCGCTTAGTGAGTTGCCTTTACCTATAATCGAGGATACCGTGCGCGAATCGAAAGTCGTAGCTTCACAGAGTTCGGAATGGAAACCTACTGCAAAGTTTCCCACGTTACCTGGACCGTGTCAGAAAGCCGTTGGGAAACAAACCGATATGGAGGTATGTACCTTTACCCATCGCGCTGTGACGGTTACGTAGTAATTACTTCATCCGTCGTTCATGTGACATGATTCGTTGACTAACATTTTTCTTATCTCCTTCACAGGTTGCGTCGTTTCTTCACCTTGATCCTCTGGCGGAATCCACTTCCGGTCCATTCCGAGCTCCACATGAGCCAGCCAAACGCCCTCGGTGTGAACAAGTAAGTTTTGTGTGCAGCTTCGTCGTCATCATTTGGCGCATGTCAAATCACCTTGTTGTTCAATTGTAGGCTGACAATTTATCAAAGCTGATTTCTAACTTTCACTTTGACGGATAAATGACTTATCGCTGTTACTGCTCTTCTTCGCCCATTTCCAGCCTACCCCAGTTACTAAAATGGAAACAATCCCTCCGACGTATGCAGCGAAGGAACTATTCGCAAAACCCTCCACCCAATCCACCCAATTTCGTCCTGCAACTTCCCGTGTACAGCAAAAACATCCGCAGACGGACACGGATGAATGTACAGTGTCTTGAGCGTCATTCCCATCGTGTGCTTGTGCATGTGGAAACGTTTTCAACTTTAGACAAACCATCGTTAATGCATCCGCTGCCGGCCCCTTCTTTACACGCTTTGTAACGCGGATTCACAGACACTCCTTTTCAGTTGCGTTTCGTTCCCATCACTATTTTACAACAGACCGACTAAATTGTATCGTATGTATGCATGCTTTTGTGCGTTATCCCACCGCCTGCGTGCTTCACGAGTGATAAGCCATTGAATAAATTGGTCTTCTTTCTTATCGTCAAACACCTGCCGATAATGAGCAAACGTGTAAATACAATCGTTTCATTCCACCTGGTCGGATTGTCAATAGTGCTTTTCGAATATTTCGTTGTTGCGTAAATCTTTAGTTACGTGGTCGTTGCTAACTTACAAGTCGCACACCCTTCACTTAACCTGCTGGTTTTTGTATTGAGTTCACTCGAAGCAGCTCATTTTGCTCTGATGCAGTTTTCCTCCGTCTTTGTCCTGTTGCGGTGTTCCCCATCAACTCGTCTAAGTGTGAAACGTATATATATATATATATATATATATATATATATATATATATATATATATTTATATATATATATATATATATATATATATATTGACCATTTAACGCTTGGCAGAGGGATACAACATTTGGGCAGCAACAAGGAAACATTAAAGGAGAGAAAAGTAGTCAGGGTAAAAGAGTCTCACAACACCTTCGCCACTAAGCCATATCCGATAGCGTTTCCACCCAGGTGTACTTACTGCCTTGGCCCCAGTCTGGCCAACTGCATTGCTAGCGCTTTGACACCGCGGACCCAGGTTTTTTGCTGGCTACCTTTCTTTCGCTTCCAGTACAAACAAAACGGGGCGAGGCAACCGTCGAACCGGCATACGCAAGACGTACTCAAGCCACTGGAGCGCACACAATAAAATTATTTAGCCCAGTGGTCGACTGCGTCTGTCTAACTTAAAGATCCGACGTCGTCTTTACCAATGCGATGCTGTCAACCTACACCAGCGATGGTCCGGAGGCAGCAGTGATCAAAAACTGACAGTCTCTGTACTTCGCTCGGACGGGCCAGGTCTGTTCGCTCCAATAGCGTTGTAGACTCGACCTTTTAATGAGATCATGCAGGTGCAAGAGATGTCGAGGTTTAGCAAAAGCCTTAGTGATACGCCAATCTGCTCATGCCTATGCAACACTTAAGGTAAATTATCTTGTCGTCCACATCTAAAGAATACTTGGATAGGATTAGTGTAAGAGTAGCTTCTAAGCAATCTTAGAAGCAAACCCTGTATTTGGAAGGAGCAAATGTCATTCCAAACTGTAATACAAATCTTTCCAACCTGCGCAGCAGGTTCTGAGTAGCTTGTAAGGTGTCACGGCTTACGGCGATGTCGTCAGCATACTCCAAGTTATGGAGCCGATCATCCTGGAGTCTTTCAACGCCGTCACGCCCACAGTACTCCAGATCACTCTGATGCCATCTAAAGCGAAGTTGAACAAGAAGGGTGATGCTGAACAGCCCTGTCTCCATGCCGCTGGTGATACAAGAGAGCGCGGGAGTTGACCGTACATTCGCACTCTGCCCGAGGTTCGAGAGTAAAAGGCCTGGAGAATATAAACATACTTCTCGGACACCCGTTCTCAGTAAACATACAGAAAAGCGCTTAGTCAACTGAATTAAATGCTGCACCTCTGTCCAGGAAGCAAATGAAGATAGACCGACTGAAAGCTCGACGGTGCTGGAGCATCTGGCGAATCGTAAGGATGTGATCAATTCAGCTGCTATCTGAGCGAAACCCCGCCCCTTCTTCACGTGTGTTCTCATATTTTGCTGATCGACCGTTAAAGCATGGAAGTGATCACTTCGGACGTTGGTCCTTCGCTAGCTTGCGCAATCTGTTCGGTTGCCTCTTCTCTAGATGGGCATGATGTCCGCTCGGCCCCAATCGGATGCCATGCAGTCGAAATCTCTTGTAGAAGGCTAGTTAATTCAGTTTGCCGAGTCGGGCGTCTATCCTTGAAAAAGCCCACAGACAATTCGTCGGGTTCAGAAGCTTTGTAACACTTCAGAAGGCGAAGCTCATAGGTGGAGAGGTGCTTACGCAGCAGGGAACACCGCGGATACAAGAATGGCAACTCGAGGGCAATCTTGGCCAGTTGAATTGCTGTACGAAGTGCTCTGCGCAATGTATAAACCGGCGTTGGCGGTTGTGAATTGATTCACCGCTGGTTTCACATATCACTTCGCTTACATTTGGTTTCTTGCCACCGGTGGATCAAATATGAGAAAAGAGTCTCTGGAAATTCCTTGATGATACGGCCTGTTCCATCTGGATGACCTGCTACGTCCACCGGGCTTCGCGGTCTTTCCTAAGGAGCTGTTTGAGTTCAGCGCTTGTAGCTCTGCACAATGAGTTATACACAACATCGGCAGGACTTGTCCGTTACTTATTCACTTCTGGTTACAGAAGTGAGTGGTTAGTGACCCTATGGTCAGTCACATCCATATCGACACAGCACCGCACTAGCTCTTGTGATATTTGATAGAGAACCGTGTGACTCTCAGAACTCCCTACGCTCTGAGACACTGTTGCTGATTGTCTACAAAGTAAACAAGACAGTTGTCTCCACAAGGAAGGCATTCACCAATCTGGGGACACGCCCGATAGTTTACAGGTCTGTCGTAGACTTCTCAAATCGCGTTGTTGCTCTGCTCGACATTTGGGGCTTTCCCAGATGCGTCTATCCCATCGTCACCTCATTCAGGCATTGTCTTGCTATCTTTTGTTGTACTCGGCCATACATGCAGCTCATTGAGGAGATGGGTTTCTCTTCCCAGACCAACATCCACTGTTTTTAATGGATTGGAGGATGCGATTGCCAATGCAACTCACCCATCCCGAAACAGGCTTCTGTTACAAGTCAAGTCAACATAAGCTCTATGCGCCCGTGTGCGAGCATTGCAAGCAATTTACGCTCTCATTGCGGATATACTGCAACATAGCATCAATGGGAAAATGATGTGAAATGGAAAGATTAACAATAAGAGTTCATTCTCAAAAAGCAAAACGTTCTCGCAATTGTTGCATCGTCACTTTTGGGTCGACCAACAAGCGAGACAGATAACGCATTATGGAGTTGCGATACAAAGATGTGTGGGAAAATAAAACTTTAGGTTTGATTGCATAGAAGGAACGGATGCAGTACTTGCTAAAACGGTTTGTAGGGGGTGTGAGGTCATTTAGAATCTTGAAGGAAAGTTAATGCATGCGTCAGAATGCTTGTGAATCATAAACTCAACGAGGAACCCTCTGCTTAATCAAGAACATCGGGGAATGCATTTTAGTGATTACACAGGAAAAGTAGTTCATTTGAAGAAGTCCGATGGAAATAGCTGGGGAGCAGTACAACCAATGGGGGATAATACGTGCATTTACAAACCTTAGCATTAGAGCACGTGGTGCGGAGATTATTCTGAGCCTAAGGGAGCAAAAGGATAGTCTTCTGGCTTTTTGAAAAGTTTCAAGCATTTTTGTCGTCCAGGATAAATTGTAGGACAAAAACTACCGATATATTTAGCGGGATGTGAATGAGGGATGAGTTCGTCACTCACGACCACAGAAGATAGGACGTGTAAAACAAATACGCAGTCTGTCAGTGCGAAGAAAAGATGGTGTGATATCACTACACTTAGCACACTTAAGGAAGAAGCGGCGGGAGCTTGACCAACTCACGAGTTCATCCAATCCTCGTTGGAGTTTCGAAGATCCTTCACGTATTGGTTGTACACCCTAGAACCATCTCAGCGTATGTTCACTTGATGAAACTGCTTGGTATGGCAGACACTCATCATAGGAAAACAGAAAGGTGAATAGACTAGATCCTTCTAAGACTCCACAATTGATTGCGGAAGATCTACCGCATAACTGCTTGAAGTATGTTCCATTCGTAAAACAGCCACGCATTACATTACATGCACATGGGGGTACGCTGATTTCGACCAAAAGATTTAGCACATTAAGCATATTAGTTATTCCGGGTGCTTTCAAGATGTCGGTGATAGTGACAGGTATTAAACATCGGTTGAAAATCTATCAGATGTGACTGTAATGTATCCGCACACTCAAAGCGATTGGGGACCGGTAATCAAGACCACTCGCCTCGTTTGGCTTCTGTCTTGTGAGTTCCTTGTAAACGTTCATGTGGTCACATAAGTTGGGTCATTGATGGAGAAGGAAAGTAGGAGAACGTGTTTAATGATGATGCGCTACATTCATCGTTGAGCTTGTCCACCACAGTACCGAGTAGGCGAATGAAATTTTACTGGTGCGTTGCCTTAAGAACCTCCACACGTCGCGACAACTGTGGTTTCCTAAAACAGCTTCCATGGATAGGCTATTTGACCTTTTTATCTCCGCTTTTAGATCCAGACACTTTTGACAGGTGATGTTGTATTTGTACGCCTGTTCCCTTTTTATACGCAGTTGACTGAGTACTTACGATGAAAATCTATCAATCCTAACATAGATGGTCCCAATGGAACATTAAAGATTGAAGCAGAAATTGGTATAGTCTGTGAGGTGTTCACACTGAGCTGACAGATCCACATTAGCGAAAATTGAGAAGTCGATTGAATAGAGCGTCGATTTGAGCCTTGTACTTTTTTCTGTTGAGTACTTTCGCCGCTTAACAGTTCTGAATGGTCTTCAAGTCAGCACCACATAATTGGTCTCACAGTGTCCTTGGGCATATCTTCACGATACAGTGCTCCTAATTACCACTTGGGGCGCGTCTGTTTGTGTAAAACTGATATTTGTTAGTGAAGTCTAGATTCGAATGTGCGACGAGTCTGGTTGGGAATTCCACCAAGTTGCTTAGATTCGGCACTTTAATGAAGACTGTCTTCTATTGAAGTAACCAACGATGATGCAGAGAGAACATTCTAACTTCGGTTACAATTCCGAGGCAAGGTGATCTGCAAACATTTTT